CTTCTTCTTCGTGGTCTCGGCGTCGGACTCGTGTCCACCCGTCTCCCTGATCCAGCTCTACCACTTCGAACTCTTCGTTCTCACCCATCGGTATTGAGCCTTCACTTTGAGCTGCAAAACACACAAATCAATTGTCAATAATTAAAACTGATTACTAAACAAATCAAAACACAAACTAATTCTCAATTATCACTATAAAAGTGTGCAAATAAATGATAATCAAGTGTTTGGTATACGTATATCAGAGGATTAGAAAAAGGCAGTAAATATTCTTTAAACGTTTATCAATTCCTAGTACTGTATTGTGATTGACATTCAATACACAATAAACAATAGTCTAATCTAGTTATACGGCAAACACAGTATACGATTACAATATATACAAAGATTAAAACATATCCAACAAATGCGTTGGTGGGAAGGAAGTGGTGGGAAGTAATGGGCCGTACCTTCAAAAACATAGAGAGCTTTGGCGGTTCCCAACGCCGGCAACGGTTCGTCAAACTCGGGTGCGTCCGCGTCGGCAAACTCGGCGTCGGGATCGTGAAGTGATAAGTGACTCGTACTGATGCCGCTCTCAGGACTGTTAGAACTGAACCACAATTAAAATTCATGTCACTTACGGCTAATATATCTATTTTTGTTATCAAAATCACTCACTCGTTGTTTTCGTGAGTAGTGGTGGTGTTGTTGTCGTGATTGCTATGATTATGATTAGTTTGTAATGAGTTCGACGACCGGTGATTATTAATGGCACTGCCATTAGTGTTTAGATTAGTCGTCGAGTGATTATTATTAGTGGTGACACTGGACTCGGAAGCGCTCCTCGACAGGGAGTCCTCCGATATACTGTTCCGGTGGGACTTCTTCTGCGCCGATGGTGTGTATGGTTTGCCGTCCGTCACGTCCTGCAAAAGTGTCCTAAACTTTTCCAATTCTGTCTTCAGTTTCTCCATTTTCTGTCCGTTTTCGGTCAACTGTCCCTCGACTGAGTTCGGGTCACCCAAAGCGCTGTTCTGTTCGTAGGCCTGTCTCATCTTCATGAGGCCGTCCCTAATGTTCATATCAATTGCAAACACAAATATTTACATTCATTCGTCACAACAGTGTTTGCGTTGGTTTGAGAGTAAACAGTGGTTAGAGAGGGAGCAGGAAATGAAGTTTTTCGAGAGGGCTATCGAGTGATTATATTGTGAACTATACCTGACAGCCGTCTCTTGAGTGAATTGATTCTGGATTTGCTCGATCTTCGCCTGAATCTTCTTACGCCTCTGGTTTGGCGGCAGATCTGCGTAATCGTCCTTTGAATCGTCAACATTGGACTGCATTTATACAAACAAATAGTATATCAGTTATAATCGCATTATTTAATTACATTAACTGTTATGCAAAACATATAAAAACGGATTCAAAATAATAAAAATAACGACAACTTAAACGATAACAGTTTGGACACAAGGATTGAACTAAAAATCCATAAAAAGCGAGCGATTTATTCGTTGATTACTTACAGAAAGTATAGGTTATTAGAGGAAATAAATAAATGATTTGTTTGGATAATAATATTTTTAATCCAAAGACCAATTGATAGTATAATTCAGGAAATATTGATAAATCAGGAAAAGAGATAATGAATTCCATCAGATAATTATTAAATAAAATATACATCTATTAAAATGGTATATAATTTGATAAAATAATTTAAAACAATTGGTATAATAAAAGCGTTAAATACTTTGTTTGAGCCAAAAATGCCAAAAATACCGCCCCTTTTCTTGAACCGGGCGGCCGATAGGGTTCCTCTCAATGTCTCGGATTTGATTGAAGTGGAATAATTCAGAGAAGTACTACCTCTGGAGGGAATGCCATTCTCCGACTCTGGCCTCGGATTACTCAAGTCGTCGAACGGGATGTCTTCGGGCGGCATATTTCCCGATTTATACCTCTCTATCACTTGTCGAGTGTCCTCTTTCGGGTCAATAATTTCCGCCGCTTTGATCACACCTTCGAGACATTTATCAATAATGGGAAACACTTGTCGGTGAATGTGTGCGCTCTGTCTCATGAAATTTTGAATACACGCCTCGCGGCGCTCCTCCATGTCCTGCAACTGATTAAATATCTTTGGCATCAGTTCCGCGTAGTGTCTCCTCTGGAGTTCGTTGCTCTTCTGCAAATGGTTCGCGTATTCCGTTTTACACTCGTCTGACATCTGAT